ATTTATTTGGGTCAATAAAAAGGTATTTATTTTTAATACAGAAATTATTAATTAGAATACACTTCATTTGATTCAAATAAAAATTATTTGGACTAAATAAATATTTATTTGATAATATTCAAGTAATCGATTATTTTAACTAAATCAATTTTTTTAAATGTATATAAATGTATATAAATACACACATATATATATATTATAGGATATACAGTAGTATATATATATATATATATATATATATATATATCAATATTAAGTATATTTATCAATGTATTATTCCAATGAAAATTTCGAAATATGTTAAACATTCTCTAATCAGTAAATGAATCTTATTACAAGTGAATAAAAAAAGCTGCAAAAAGGTGAGAAAGATAATAAACGCGCGCGCGAGAAAAGTAATTAATTAAAAAATAGTTATATATATATGTATATAGTCACGTGCTAGAAATTTGTACGGTGAGTGTCTAATAAAAACGTGGGAAACATTCGAAAGACTATATATAATAGTTTTGCTATAAGTATATAATATGTTTAATAAATCTCTAAATATATATATCATCGTTTTTAAGTTTTTTGTAAATGATATATCGCATACGAAATTTTAAAGTAAGTTGTAAAGTATGGACCCAAACAGTCAGCGACACATACGTTGTCATAATTTTTAATAATTTATAGATTGAAAAAAATATTTCGTTCATATGAACGTTCAAAACTTTCGGCTCATAAATAAATGAAATTTTCTATGTAAATTATAAAATAAATTCTTTTATATCATTATTCGCACACTACAGGTATCAATAAAATTTGGTTAAGTAATAATTAAATAATTATTGATCATTTTTAAGTAATACCTATAACAATTGAAAAATAAGTAAAAATCAAAAAAAAAAATTTTTTTCAATTTAACCCACAATATTAATAGATTTGAAAAAAATTAAGGCTTTTAATTTTACTTTTGGAAAATATATTCTTACTTGTTTTTTTTTATTTTTATCATTATTTACAATAATCATGCGCTTAAATATAATTATGAGTGAAATAGCATTTTCAAGACCTTTTAGAATAAATTGTTATATATACCTTTGAAAGTTGTAAGAATGCATACACAAACAATAAAAGTGTAAAATTGTGAACGTGACTACATTTCCATTTACAAGAATATTTTTCATCTTTCTTATAATATAAAGACAGAGATTGTCAGAGAATATATATCAGTATTTACGTATATATATATATACATATATATATATGTGTGACGCGATCTGAAGAAAAGGACCTTAGAAGCAAATGAATTATTGGTTATGTTTACAATAGTTTACTTGAACTAAAAGTTTATTTTTGTTTTTGTAAAACTGAAATCAGTTTTTATTGAATATTTTGGATGCAATGAAGACCTAAATATCATTAGTTTGCATTACCAGTTGAACGTCTTTGTGTATTTTCACTTTAAAATTTCTAAACGAAACCTATAATTTTTTGCTTCTAAGGTCCTTTTCTTCAGATCGCGTCACACACACACACACGCATATATATATATATATATATATACTAGGGGGCTATTCCCCCTGCGTGCTTCGCGCGCCAACCCCCATCCCCCTCCTCTCTTCCCCTCCCCCACCCTAAATTTAAAGGTTAAGATCGTTTCAAGACTCTGAATATAGCCGTAAGTCCCCCCTCCCTTTTCTTCTACCCCCCTTCTCTTGACTTGTGGCTATATTCAGAGTCTTGGAACAACGGCGGCAGCGGCTTTGCGCCCCATCCCCCCTCCTTTTCCCCTCCCTCACCCTAAATTTAAAGGTTAAGATCGTTTCAAGACTCTGAATATAGCCGCAAGTCCCCCTTCCCTTTTCTTCTACCCCCCTTCTCTTGATTTGCGGCTATTTTCAGAGTCTTGGAACAGCGGCGGCGGCGTTGCCGGCGATTTCTTTTTGTAATATAGGTAGATATATATGTAGTTTAAAGAAAAATAAAATAAATTTCCATTATATTATTCCTTTATATACAATAATTATTATATTCAATGTAGGATAAAAATTTAGTTTTAATATATAATATATTAGTTATAAGAAGAAAAATTGTGACGCGGTAGATCTATAATTTATCGTCGAACGATCATTATATGAGTGCTATTACTAAATCACGCTATATATCTCATGAACACGCGGCGTTTAAATCTGAACAGAAAACCGCGGTGGCATTATATATAAAGGGAGCGTTATATTACTAAAACCATCATGCGCCTGTAAAACTTAAACTCGCAAGAACATTTACCTCTGATCGTAAATACAATTTATTGTCATATCTACAAGATGTTAATTACTTTTCTAGACGCATATATATATATATATAAATATCTTGCGACAATTTTCTTTTGTGTGCGTTTAAAATTTTCCTCCAAAAAAACATTTTTCCCATCGTCAATATTTGACGACGAAGAATATTGCACGCCAGAACAGTTAAAATAACAGCTTTATTTGCATTTTTATTGCCATATTTTCATTTTATTGCTTCAATTATATTGTATACGATAACAACTTGTACCGTACAGTAAACAAAATAAATCTTTTTAAAAAAATTAGAGAAAGAAACAATTTTTTTTTTGAAAAAGTATTGTTTTTTTTGGTTACTTTTTTGTTTTCTTTAAAGCAAAAGAAATTATAGATAATGTTTTGAAATTTTTATGTGAAAATACCATTCATGTTTTAAGTCTTTATTAAAAATATTGAATAGAAATTGATTTTACGCACAAATAAAAAGGAACTTTTATAATAGATATAAATTTGTCGTAAACATAATCTATTATTCAATTGCTTCTTAAGTCCCTTTCTTCAGAGTGTGTTAAATTTTCTTTTTAAATTGAAATAAATTATTATTATTTTGAATAAAAAAATTTCTATACATAAATCTATTGCTCGTTATTATTGTAGTAAAATTTTTAGTTTCAAAACAATGTATATATCCGGGTTCGTAAAAGTTAAAAAAAAAAACTATGTTATGTAATTGAAAAAAAAGTAAATCTGGTTTCGTATTCAGTTGAAAGAGATTGTTAACGTGTTGCCAGAAAATAAAGGGTCGTAAGTCGCGAATTTATTTGAAAGCGTATTGTACCGCTGTAGAACACGATCCTATGTAGCGTCTATCGGATTTCAAGTTGCGATGCCCATTCATCGTGCAATACGATCGCTTAGAGGAGTGAGGTCGAAAATTTCTTTGGGTTAATGAATTACCTTTTCTGATTACCGCAAAAAAAAAAGAACAAATTACCTACAACTTAAAATTTTACATCACTTCTAATCTTATTTGCCTTTAAATATAATTAATTCAATAGAATTTTTTTTTCCTTCTCTTATCATTTTAATTATGTATACCTTTCTGAAATGAATTGAAATTAGTTTTTCATTTTATTTTGATAGCTGAAAAGGCTAAACGTATTTAATCAGTAAAAGTCTTCTGCCCTCAAAATAATTTTGTGATCATACTTCAAGTATAACCATATAATAAATAAAAATAAATAAATTGATTTTACAGTTATTTCAAAAAAAAAAAAATTCTTCCTCGAAAATAACTAGGCACCCATATATGTAATAAAAATGATATTTATTTTCATTTCCATTTGTTTTTTTTTCTTCTTTTTATTTTCATTGAATAAAATTTTTTTAGGAGAAAAGAAATTGGCCATTGTCGAGCTTATAGAGGGATGAGATGAATGAAAATGTTGGCGCCTGAACAAGTCTCATGAATGAGGGGACCCCTTACGAATGTGTGATTTTCGCGCGTAAGATCGTAAATCGCCTATCTCTTCTTTCGCAAAGATTGGGTCGGGAGGCGATTATTTTCCGACAAGAGAAATGGAAGATGCCAAAGTTGTTCGCCTCCGGATAGTTTTCTGGGTGTGTTCATGTGCATATATGTGTTTTAACTTGGACACACAAATAAAATGTGCACATGCACATACAAAGAATGTGCTCACGAAGCTGCCCGCTGTCCCGTTAATCTAAGATACAATGCCAGACAAGTTAAAATGGAGGAGAGAAGATGCGGATCTTAAGATACGACCATTTCTCTCTCTCTCTCTCTCTCTTTGCTACCTTCCTCGACTTTTTCAGAAATATGAAAAAAAAAAGCTTGTACATAGTGATTTGAAACATTTTTTTTTCTTCAAATCTCATTTCAATTTAATATAATTAATTTCTTAATTTAACGCACTACTTAAGATATTTTTAGATTACAAGCGATGAATTTAGTGTGTCCCAGCTTTTAAATATTACGTAAAAATACATTTTCATATAATCTTTAGGCGTTATCCATCACTATTATTACTAATTCACAAATTCAAAATGGCGGTTCCAATATGGCGACCAAAACTTTTAAATTTCATTGCATTCGCTCGAAACTTGTTACTCGGGAATTTTCTGAGCGTCGCTGAATTCAAATTTGATGTTAGATTTAAAATTTCAACAAATCCCAAGCGAATTTGATCAAATTTTTAATTTTGTTATCGTCATTTTGAAAATTTTAAATCTCACATAAAAATTTAAATTCATCAACCTTAAAAATCCACGAGTAATAAAGTTTCGAGCAAATACGATAAAATTAAAATTTTAATTAATTGTTAAAAGTTCAAATTTCCAAAAGTTTGAACTGTTAAAATTTTGAATTTCCAAATGTTCAAAATTCCAATAAAAATATTGTAGATTATCCGAAAGTTCAAAGTGTTAATATTTCGTATTATTACTTGAAATTTGAATTTTCAAGAGTTAGAATTGTTATAAGTCCGAATTGTTAAAAATTCGAATTACTAAAATTCGTGAATACAAACTAAAATGATTTTTAATTAAATTTGAAAAAATCATATCTACAATTAAAGGGCAAGAATTTTGTGATATATATATTTACAATAAAAGAAGTTATAGATGTAAAGAAGTTTGCTTATTGGTTTGTTTGACAACTGGTAGTTTGGCACTCAATTAAAGTTTTGTGAATAAATTTCTGGTTTGCAGATGCCTCGTCGTCGAATGAAGCGGTGCACCTACAGCAGCGGTTGAAGAGTTTGAGCACGGAATTGGTGACCCTGAGGAACCGGCTGCACGTAAGCCAACCTGCGACCAATTCAGGGCCGGCAGGTGCAGCGTCCAGTCCCCTGGCCAAAAGTCCTGATAAAAGTTCACCGGCTCCTGCGGTGCCACCGAGGACAATATTACCACCGGGTGGCGTTGGTGGTGGTGGTACCCTCAATATTGGACATCCTTCCGGCCATACTCTTACCGCTTCCGCGATCGTTCATCCTCATGCAAATCATGGCACGAGCAACGCTCTCAACCACAACTCAACCACAAATAATTTAATATCTGGTCAGTATCTAACCACACGTCCACGCTGCGACATGCCATTTACGTTTCAGAGACTTGTTGTTTCATGTTGGAAAATTCGGACGTGATCGAATTTATGATAATGGGAAATTTCAAAGCTGATGTTTTAATGCATATCTAAAATATATATTCATTGAATAAATTCAATGTTTTCTATCACATAATTCATATATTTTCAACTTTTTTTCAAATCGTTTATATTTTATAATTTTTTATTCAATTTTCATTTGTCTGGAAATTAAAATATTTATCACATATTTCGAGAATAGAGTTCTGAAATATCTATATAAAGCGACTGCTCGAAGCGCCTCTAGTGGATGATTTTTTTTAAATGACGGGTAGCTTAATCTGACAATAATATACAGTGATAAAAGTTAAATTATAAACAAGAATTTTTTAAACTATTGTTAATATCCGTGAAAAAATATCTACCCATTTTTCTCTTCTTTATTTAATTCACAACCTTTTTGTAAAGGGATCAAATTGTAGTTCCGGATTATTGCGTTTACTATTAGAACAACGTATTACGCAAAACATTCTTTTTGATCCTTTATTTTTATTTAAAAATAACATTTTTGATCACGATAAATTATATTCAATACAACGAGATACCTACTTATTTGAAATTTTCACCACCGGTTAGCGGTAAGAACATACTTCAGAACTCTATTAACATCATGTCATTGTTAGGTCCACGAAGTATTATAAGGAGCACTCACTCTATTGGCCGTTTCGGAAAATTCTGGTCACATGTTTTTCCGATTCAATTAATGAAGTGTCCCATAACGATACTAACAACCCTAGCGGGAAAGTTAATTACTACAGGTCACGTGATTTTATCGTCTGCTATGCTTGAATGTTTGTTGTTTGTTTACACTGTATTCAACAGCAGTATTTAGTACGGGCCGGTTTTGAAATTTAATTTTGATTAGTTTAAACAAGTTGTTTTGTAAATATTTGAATGGACAAACTATATTCATCGAATTTTCCATTATTTTCTGTGTACAGATGGGTGACAGATAGTGATATAACCTAAAAATTGTAATAGAATTTTTATAAATACATGAGATGTAAAAATGTAAATTATATAAATAATTTTTTTATACACATGGAAATCTATAAATTTAAACAAAATTCATAAATTGCAGAATATACACTTTTATTTAATCTTGTAGAGGCGTCCTAATCGTTATGGGACATTTCTCTAATTGATTTGGCGAAACCGTGGCTATCTGCTAAAGTGGAGTGAGTGCTCCTTATAATACTTCGTGGTTAGGTCCCAAATTTAATTTTGTCAGGAACATTGCTCTAAAAATAAAGAGTCGATTGCGTTGATATTTTGAGAAAAGTCTTAAATATTGCGAGGAAGAGCTGTTATGTGCGAAAATTGTGATATTTTATAAATTAATTAATATAAAATACTTAAAAATTTGTTAGACAAAAGGTGAGGTTAGGATCAGAGATGCCAATAGGCGACCGTCACTAAACGCAACTGCGCTTGCGTCGCAATAAACTTGTGATTGGTAGTAAAAATCGCGCTTATTTAAACTCCTCAAATGTAATAAATATAAGAACGATAAAAAAAATTGTAACTCTTAGATTTATTATTTTTGTGATTACTTATAAGGCTTTCTAATAAAAAATAATTGTATTAAATTACTTTTAGCACAATTAATTAAAATGTATCAAAGGAATTCAATTTTTCATATCAATTTGATACTTTTAATTTAACTGTGAAACTAATATTTACAAAGAATAATCAACTTTCAAATTAAAATATTTTTATCTAATTTATTATTATGCGAAACATTTTTAAATTATGTATAATTATTATTTATATATTTTTAATATATTACTGTTTTCTTATCATTTTATTATATTTAAGAAAGCAAAATAATATATTATTATAATATTTTATTATATTTTAAGAAATTTAAATAAGCGCAGTTTTTACTACCAATCACAAGGAGTGACAGATTTTCGGATTTTCTACCAATTTCCAAAAGTATTTTTTATTAATTTAACAAAATATCACAATATTTTCGTCTTTCTCATCATATTTAAAACTTTTTCAATATTTTCGAATTGACTGTCCGTCCGAATTTTCCTTAATTAATTATTAGTATTATTAAATTATCAATGATTAATTTAGAATTTTACTCAAAACTATAGTATATGTTACTAAAAAATGTTAGAATTGAAGATAATTTAAAACTTTTTTTCAAAAAATAAATACCATTATAATTTGAAATGGCATCGCGCAAATTTCAAACATTGTAAATAGAAGATAAGGGCCCTGATAATGGGAGCCCTGATGTTTGCTAAAAGTTACAAAACTTATTGGCGATTTCTTTCAGTGAAAGTTATAGAAAGTTTCGTATCCTTGAAGTTTTTCTTAAAGGCTGTGTGTTAATCTTGAAATACTTGAGCAAAAGAAAAGTTTTAGTTTTTCTTAGAATCTTTGTCTTATTTAATCATTCAATTCACATTTTGTCTTTCACGTGAATATATATATATATAGAAGAAAGTTGTTTTCATTTTTTTTCTCCAATATATTAAAAAAAAAGTTTTCACGTAACACGAGAAAAAATATATTTGTCTTTTAGAGTTAAATAAATAATTATTTATTTCAAATAAAAATTTTATTTATGCCAATTAAAATTTTCATTTCATTAATGAAAATATACAATTTGAAAAAATTTTTTCTATCGGGGGAAAAAAAAATCGTAAAATTATACATTGTTAACATAATGAACATGTCACGCAGTTTGAACTAACCACATTAGGATCACTCGTCTGGGATTATACTCGTGAAACCACGTTCAGCATCAAATATCGAATTACACTTTTACCTCTGATATAACCCAAATATTATCTATCAGTGTTGTTGAATTTAATTTATTAATGGTGCTGTTTAATACTGTACTTTAGTCAATTTTGAAAATTAACGTATTCATTAAATTTAATTAATATAGGTTTAGAACTTCATAATTCTATAGAAAGAAAAAAATACTATACTGTATTAATACTCTATATAATTCAAAATAATCGTATAACAACTATTTAGAAAAATTCTTGTATATTTATAATTCAAAAATATGAAAATATTTAGAAAAATAAAATATTTCACGTGAAAAATAAAATATATAATTGATAAATTAACAAATATTTATTTGTTCGTAATTTCAAGAATTATTTACAAATTATTACAATAATTTAAAGTATTTTAAAAATAAGTGTACTGTTTAATTTAAATTTACAAAATTTCTATGAAAAAGTTTCTTTAAGTGACAATGAAAGAATTTAATCTCCATAATTATAACATTGATGAATTTTCATTTTTTTAAATAGTTGAACTTTTTCTCTCTTTTGAATTTTTTTTGTGAATTTTTCCATTTGTTAGATTTCGTTATAATTTATATAAATTTTTTCTATTTTCTTTTTGTATGTTTTAATCAACTTTTTCACATATTTCTTTAGCAGTCTCTGTCAGTAGTTAAAATTGAAAAGATTTGAATAAACGTAATTTTATTCTTTTATAATTGTATATATATAATATTTATTAAAGAATTCTTTTTATTCTATTTTATGAATTTTTTTTTAAAAACTCAGTTTTTCATGGATAGCGGGATAATTAGAAAAAATATGAAAGAAATTGATACTTTTTGTTTAAATGAATTAATATAAACTTTCGACAAGTTTAACATCAATTGATTTATTTGTTATTTAAAGTACATTAAATTTTAGAAAATCTATTTAATATTAAAATTAAAATAATGTAAGATTTTCAAAATTCAAAATGGCGGATCCAATATGGCGGTCAAAAATTTAAAAAGTTATTAATTTTTTATATTATATTAGCCATTTTGAATTTTGAAAAGTTGACATTATATTCGTCATCAGTGACCCAAAAACTTCTCGATGTCAAGTTTTATAAAAAATTAATAACTTTTTAAAAATTTGATCGCCATATTGGATCCGCCATTTTGAATTTTGAAAATCTGACATCAGATTAATAATCAGTGACCCCGAAAACCCCCACACTGAGAAAACTGTTTGGTATCATCTACTGAAGTTTGGTTCTCCAAACCAAATTTTTTATTTGATATATGTGCAACTAATCCGTTTGGTTCGGGCTACTAAATTTTTTCGTTGAATCATTTTGTTCGGTCTACCAAATTTTTTGTTTTGCACAACTAACTTATTGTTTTTAAGCAAACAAAAAATTTAGTTAAATGAAAACAATTTTTTTCTTTTCTCAACCAAATTATTTTTTGGCTCACACTTATATTTTTTATTTTTCACTTAATTTTATCACTTTTGTTATCCTCTTTTATTCTACCACCCTATGTCTACTTAAATTAATTTCTATTGCGGAAAAACCTAACACTGCTGGGGATCGAACCCTCAGACTACGCAATGCAAATCAAGAACGCTGACCACTACACTAAGAATCCTAGTGACAATGTGAGTGTAAATTATTTTCATAAAGTATACAGGCTGGAGAAAAACTTCCGTTCTTTTAACAAGCTTTATTCTCTCGACAGCCATGTTATAAAATATGAGAATAAAGAATTTTTTGTTGTAATTCTCGTGATCATAATTGACGTGCTCGAGATTTTATTTGCATATTTTCTTTTCACCAAAACACAGTGACATTTGTCCGATTTTCACATGAAGAACGAACATATTTCCCACATTTATCCATTTCTTGATCATATTGTTCGATATGCATCACTACACACACTTTTTTACCCAATTTCTGAAACACATAAAAATCCCGAAAACACTTGAATAAAACTGGACGACACGAAGAGCGAAGCATGGTTAACGTGTGACATCCGTTTACGAGAACAGCGCATGCGCAATTGAGCATTCAGACGGTTTGGTTTGGAGAACCAAATTATTCAGTTAACAGACGCAAAAGCTTGAACGAAATTTTTGGTACAGCCAACTAAATTTCTCGATTGATTGCTTCTTTCGTTACTGTTATGTCAACTAAATTTTTGTAATCTTAACTAAAAGTGCTCTACCAAATTATTTTATTACCATTACATTATTATTTTTTTCAGTGCAGATAAAAAGTTTTATAAAATATTAATAATTTTTAAAAGATATATCTTGTCACTTTTCATTTTGGGGGTTGTTTTCACTCCTAAAAACCAGACACGGGTATTTCTTTTTGGTCATAGTTTTCAAAAATGTTGGATTTTTTTGTGGATCAAAAATCGTGTCGGACGGTGTTTGTTATGATTTTTAAAACGACGAATCCGAATTTGTCCGAATTGGCAAATTCGATTTGGGCGGGATTTTTAAAATTGACCAATCAAAAATTATCAAGAAAATCGTTATTGGTAAATTTAAAAAAAAGCGCCCAAATCTTTCTGTGCATTATTTGTTTGGCTATTTGCAATTTCGGATAAATGAAAATTCGGCGTTTTAAGAATTCTTTCAAATAAAAATTTGGACAAATTAAGATTCGGTGAATTAGAAAATATAGCATTTAAAAATTCGAAGGACTTAAAATTCTATTAATTTAGAAATGTTTTAAATAAAAAGTCATTTATCCTAATGTTTTTGTTTTTTTTATAAATTAAAAAAAAACCTTTAAAATCAACATTTTAAATATTGTTACTAAATATTTTTTAAAATGTTACTTTTTTGTCGACTTGTTGAGAAATGAATTAGCAATTTTTACCCTCTGCTTTTTAATTTATAATCCTTTCTTGTATGCCAGTGAAAAAAAGGGAATAAGTGAAGAAAGAAGCTAAGAAAAAGTGTTATCGATTTATGTTTCCGGTAGATCTGGAACCCCTAAAGCTACACAGCGGGGTGCCTGACGACGGGATAGTGTCCTGTGTCACAGCCTTGGGTTGTCTTAGAACACCGCCGATTTCCAGTATCATCGCTGAGGTAAAAAATGCTAAAAGCTCGCAAGCACTTCAACACAAGTGTCCACCTAAAGGAAATGGATCTCCATCAAGTACAGTGACATCGACGGCCTTGGATGACCTCATTCATCTATCTGCACCTCTCACCGAAGACGCGGTCCTCAAGTGTCTTCAAGCTCGCTTTTGTGCCAAACAATATCACGTGAGTCAATTGAAAAACTTTTCTTTCATTTTGATGTAATTTAAAAAAAAAATTTATTCTTAATTTAAGACCTCGTAAAATTTGAATCAGTGAGATTCAATAATTACTGATTTAAATCAGTATAATGATTATATATTTAGAATTATTACACGGAGAAAAAAGATTTCTTTTATAAAGTAACTTTTACTACTTTCAGAGTAAAACTGGACCAACTCGAAGTTTCTGCGCATCTCTGGCAATTTTTACTCCAAAAATAGTAAAATTTACTCTACACAGAAAAAACCTGAATTCAAATTGAGTATAGATTCTATACTCAATTTGATTCGCAACAAAAATGAAACTGGTTGTCTCATTTCGAGTTCTAAGGTAAAAGTATCAAAATGAAACAGGCAAGTTTAATTTTGAGAAAAAGAAAAATGGAAAAATATTGTGAAATAACGAATAATTTTGCACAAAAACATGAAATATAATAATTACAAAGAAGTAAATAACACGCTAGACTTAATATATTTGATTAAAAATTGCTTGTAATCGCGTAATAAAATAATAAAGGAAATATGTTTTTCGGTTAGAAAAATGAAAACATGTGTTTTGACAACAGGAACGGTACTGCCAACTTAAATAATAGCGGTAAATTTAAAAACTTATGAAATTAATTATTATCTACGTAAATAATAATAAATAATTTTTATTTAAAAACTTCTAAATATTCGTACTGGTCAAAATAATCTTTCTGGTGTTGTTGAAATATTAGAAACAATAATTGAAATACAAAATTACTCTGCTTATGATGCCAACTTAGAAATCTCAAATTCCAGCCAATATCATTTTGAATAACATGAAGTTTGTCCCATACTCATTTCGATACCCAAATGAAAATGAGTTGCAACAAAAATGAGTCCAAGTTTTTTCTGTGTAGAAATAGTAAAACTTACTACGGAAACAGTAAAATTTACTACAGAAATAATAAATTTTACTATTTTTGGAGTAAAAATTGCCAGAGATGCGCAGAAACTTCGAGTTGGTCCAGTTTTACTCTGAAAGTAGTAAAAATTACTTTTTCTTTTTCTCCGTGTACTAATCAAAACAGTTCAATCTGTTTTACCGATTAATGACAATGCAGATTTGACTCTAAATCAGTAATATAATTCGACTAATAATTCAGTTGCTAAATTCCAACTATTTTATCAGTGAAATCTCTCTGATTCAAAAAAGAGCATATAATTTATGTATAACAAAGATATTTATTTGCTTTTTTTCAAAAAATTATTTATTGTTTAGGATTTTTATATAAAATAAATTAAATTACATAGAAAAAGAATATAACGAAGAAAAATATTCTTTGGTGGCAAATCTTTCACAGACCACCCAAATTTAAATGTGAAATATTCAAAAGAGATATACGTATTCCCGAGGATTTAATGATCAATCATTGCCTCTTTCTTGTTACCAAAACACAGCTCTGATTTAACTCGAAAAAGATGTATCAATCATACTTAATCACTTTTTTATTTGCCGAACCAAATAACTTATTAAAAAAAAAAGATTGAAAAGAATATGTTACATTAAATAAAAATTAAATATATGAAAAGAATTTTTCAAACAAATATATCACTGCTAGAAATCTGACTTCAACTTTACACTAGGAAGATTGAAATTTTATATATATATATATATATATATATATAGTTTCAATATCGAAAAATGCGAATAGTTTCGTTTCATTGGCTTAAAGTTTTTTGTCCAACCAATAATATGCAAGTATTCATATTGGGATGTCCGCTAGGGGCGTGGCTTAGCATTTTATCCTACGTTCAGTAGTACCATTTTTCACCACTATGTCTCAAAGTTACTCTGATTGGTTTAAACTGGACAAAAATTGACAAACATCCTACTTTCAAGGGTGTCTGAATGACCGAATGAATCGGTGAGGTTTGTTGTGATCACGAGAGATTGGTAAATGACATGTACTCACATAACCTGCAGGAAAGTTTGTGTTGATATTTAACTACATTTTAAGCAGCAAATATTTTAAAATTTTGTAAAATAAAATGAGAAAAATTGGACACTTAACCCCTTCGCAGTCTAATATAGAAAAATCGTTTGTGGGCCCAAAACGGTCCAAAAAAAAGTTTCCAAATAAATATTATATCATCGTATTAAAAGTTTTTAGGTTCGCTAAATCCAAATTTAAGGTTAAATTTAATAAATTCAAAATGGCCGACCCAATATGGCGGAAAAATTTAAAATTGATTCGATTCGTTCAAAATTTGGTACTTGTGGGTTTTTAGGATCTCTGAATCCAAATTTGAGGTCAGATTTAACAAATTCAAAATTAGGATTCATTGACTCCAAAAACCCCCGAGTACCAAATTTTGAACGAATAGAATAAATTTTAAAACTTTCCGTCATATTGGTTTAACATTTTGAATTTTTTAAATTTGACCTCAAATTTTGATTCAGCGACCCCAGAAACCCCCGAGTACCGAATTTTAAACGAATCGAATCAATTTCAAAATTTTCCGCCCATTTTTGGGTATTTTCTAAATTTTTGCCTCTAAAATGAAGAAACAAAGTCAATAATTTTAAAAATAATATTCAAAAATTCTTCAAGTTAAAATATATTTCAAAAATTTGATACTGAATAATGTTGAAAAAAGAAAATATTACATAAAATAAATTTATTAATGTATTAATGCACAGAAAAAACTTGGACTCATTTTTGTTGCAACTCATTTTCATTTGGGTATCGAAATGAGTATGGGACAAACTTCATGTTATTCAAAATGATATTGGCTGGAATTTCAGATTTCTAAGTTGGCATCATAAGCAGAGTAATTTTGTATTTCAATTATTGTTTCTAATATTTCAACAACACCAGAAAGATTATTTTGACCAGTACGAATATTTAGAAGTTTTTAAATAAAAATTATTTATTATTATTTACGTAGATAATAATTAATTTCATAAGTTTTTAAATTTACCGCTATTATTTAAGTTGGCAGTACCGTTCCTGTTGTCAAAACACATGTTTTCATTTTTCTAACCTAAAAACATATTTCCTTTATTATTTTATTACGCGATTACAAGCAATTTTTAATCAAATATATTAAGTCTAGCGTGTTATTTACTTCTTTGTAATTATTATATTTCATGTTTTTGTGCAAAATTATTCGTTATTTCACAATATTTTTCCATTTTTCTTTTTCTCAAAATGAAACTTGCCTGTTTCATTTTGATACTTTTACCTTAGAACTCGAAATGAGACAACCAGTTTCATTTTTGTTGCGAATCAAATTGAGTATAGAATCTATACTCAATTTGAATTCAGGTTTTTTCTGTGTGTCGGTGATAACGAATTTGACGTCAGATTTAAAAAAAAGCAAAGTAGGATTTTTTTTAATTTATCAAATTCGCATGAAACTTGTTACTCTGGGGTTTTCAGAGTCGCTGATTGAGAATTTAATGTCAGATCTGTAATCAGAGACTCCTAAAACCTCTAGATAACAAGTTTAATAAATATCAAATAATTTTTTAAAAATTCATCTACTATATTGAATTTCCATTTAGAATTTTTTATAATGTCAGAAGGGAGTGAAAACTTTCAGACGAATCTGATAAATTTTTAAAAAAATTGCCTGGATCGAATATTATGAATTTTTGAAAACTAAGTTCAGATTTGTAAGTATTGACCTCAAAAGCCATGAAGTAAGAAGTTTTAGTAATTTTTATTTAAAAAAAAAATTGACTTCAATTTCCATTATTAGCAAGGAGAAAAATTGCTAAGTTATAGGTTATGTTCTAGATTTAAAAAAAAAATTTTTTTTAACTGTTTCGTTTAATTTATATAATAAATTGGCAACCTTGCACCAACCTTGCTACAAGCTTATTGAGCATGCTTACTGAACAATCTTGCGATAATCTTATTGTACAATCTTGCAGTAACCTTACAGCTGCGATCTAGCAGTAATCTTACACTGCAATTTTTCGGTAAGCTTACCATGCAAGCTTAGGTCACGTGTGACATTTGAAGCTTGCGGCAAGTTTGACGTGCAAGGTTGGCAATATTGCGCGTCAAGCTTGCTGCAAGCTTACGTACTATCTGGGATATAAGTTTCCATTAAGGAGTAATGATATACGTTAACATTATCTCAAAATTGAGAAATTGTTTTTTAACAATTTAACGCAAACAAAATTATGATTAATTAATAATAATTAATTTTAATCAAAATTTTGTTTGCGTTAAATTGTTAAAAAACAATTTCTCAGTTTTGAGGTTATGTTAATGTGTACCATTAAACAATCACTTTCAACAAAATTATTTAAATTTAGCGCCATTATCTATAGTTTTGTGTTTCATGGTTGGTATCTTTTAAACTTGTGGTCATTGAACCTTTTCCATTTTCTGTCCTTGTCCTACACACATGTTGACATGACAACTCATACGTTAGAAAAGGTCAAAAAAGTGTAAGCATATCTTACCACGAGTATACTTATATGTCAATTCACAAAGATTCCTAACCTAAAAATTCTGCTGCTTAATTTCGAGAATTGTCATTTCAAGAAGTAAAGTTTTTTTTCGCAATATTATATATCATGTCGATGAAAAATATTTATTTCATTTAGTATTTTTGTACGTATATTGGTTTTTCCACTATAATTTACACTGTAACCTTGAACTCAAAATGCGAGTTAAAATTGTATTATTTTTGCTTTACACCTCAAAATAAGTATCAGAATCATTTTGAGTGGAAATTTTTTGACTCGAAATTTTTTTTTTTTTAATTTTTACAATCAGCTCGTCAAAATTTATCTGGATAGTATTTTCATCATGGCCAAAAATCGTAGTGTAATTTAAATAAATGATTATATAGTATAGTATATAAATAAGAGAAAATTTTGTGAGTGCTCAAAGAGGAATAATAATATTATATAGTCCTGTAAAGTTTGGGTCCTGGCAACTCGAGGGTCTGTTTTAGCGGCACTCGAGGCTGTTCTCT